ATGATGTAAATGTGAAGGAAATTTCCAGATTTCAAAATCTATTTAAATGTGTAATTAAGGAAATCCTGTATAGCATTCTATTGGAAGTTAATGCAAATATCAAGAGATGACTCTAATAGAATTCTACAAATGCCTTCTAAAAGATGAATACACTCACTCGGTTGAAGTTAGATGCTAATGGATACCAATGTCTGAAAGGACATTTTCAAAGATGAAATATATAAAATCTTATACACATTTTACCAACCATCATTTGTAAATCAGATAAACCTTACCTTTACAATCAGTTTTGAAGATAGATAACTAATTTAGAACCCTAATTATGTGAAACGTTATCAACCTCCCCCCAAAAGGAATTGTATTGTCCTTGTTGGTAGACCTGAATTACAAAAAAAAACTTACTTTATTAGTATTATTTTAAATTTTATCAATGCAAAATTTGTAGGAAATTTTACTTTCTTATGTAATATCCTTGATTTTTGCCACTGCTCACAAAATGTAAAATCTTTACTATACTGACCCTCTCTTTTTCCTTAGTTTCTAGGTATACTTTATCTTCAAAGGTCTTGTCCTCTGGATATCTTTTCCTCAGTCTATGCTTTTGCCCCCAAATTATGTGCTTCCCATAGCTCTTTTCACACTGATTCATAAAGTATTCATCTGATTCCCCTATCAGACCACAACCTCCTATATAACCAATCACCCTGTCATCCATCTATTTATAAATACTGTGTTTTCATATTTATAGTATCTGAAGTACAGTTGATTCTTGAGTACCTATCTTCTCAATCAAAACTAGAACACTGCATACAAGGCACGAAGCTCAACAGAACAACAAAAGTAATTAATATTTACCAGATGTCTTCTGCAGCTTAAAAATAAAAAAGCCTTTTACATTTTATTCTCACAGCAACAGAGTTAGGTATCATTGCTCTTTTTTCACAAGTGAAGGAACAGAGATTACATTAGGGTCGCTAGATCATATAACAAGAAAGTGTTACAGCTAGATTCCGCCAAGCCGGGTCTGTTATACCTCTGTGCTCTACAAATCCACCTACTAAGTAATGGATGTCCATGAGAACCTGTTACTTTTTTTCTTGGTTTCCAACTTCCTAAATCTAGTCTCATGAGCCAGCTTCTACCATGATGTTAATGGGTTCATGTACTGACACTCATTCTCCACTCCCCATAGAAAATATTTTGGCACCAAGTGAGTATTCTAGGGAAGATATTTTCCACCAACCATATTCATGGATTATTGTGATCTTTCCAAGGTTAAAGGGATTAGGAATGAAGCTACCTAGTTCAGTTGATGGGAGTCACCTAAGTAACTTTATGCAAAAATTCACCATAAGAGCATATATTGACACTGTTACTTATAAACAGTAGTAGATGCACAGTAGTAATTTTCCTTCCCATAGTTTCAGTGCCCCTGGGTCAAGCACAGCCTGAAAATACCAAATGAAAAGTTCCAGAAGTAAATAATTGGTCCATTTTAATCTCACACCATTCTGAGTAGTGTGATAAATCTTGTGCTATTCTGCTGGGTACCCCTGAGACTCATCCCATTGTCTTGTGTCCCCTCCCCCAACATACTCCCCTTGCCCCTTTAGTAATTTAGTATCTACCTTGGTTATTGGATAGATTGTGAACTGTCTTATGTTCAAGTAACCCTTCTTTTACTTAATAATGGTCCCAGACTGGTGACACTGGCAGTTTGGTTATGCCAAAGAGAAGCCATAAAAAGTGTTTCTTTTAAGTGAAAAGCTAAAAGTTCTTGACTTAATAAGGAAAGAAAATAATTATATGCTGAGGTTGCTAAAAATAAATCTATTTATCAAATCATGGAGAAAGAAAAAAAATTCATGCTAGCTTTGCTGTCACACCTCAGCAAAACTTACAGTCACAGTGCATAATGAGTGCTTAGTTATTATTAGAGTTTATTGTCAGAATTATTGTTTTATTAGCTATTTTTGTTAATCTCTTACTGCCTAATTTATAAATTAGGTTCTAACATAAGCATATATGTATAAGGAAAAACATAAACGTAGTCTGTCCTATCCACAGTTTCAGGCATCCGCAGAGGCTCTTGGAATATAGCCCCTGTAGACGAGTGGGAACTATTGTAATATGCAGCCCTTGGGCAAAGTATATAATTGAGACAGCTGGCCCCAGAAACAGAATAAAGAAAATTCCAGATCCTGACCTGTTTCCTAAGAACCCAGGGAAACTTTGCAGCAAAAAAAAAAAAAACCTAATGATAGCTGCCATTTGTAATATTAGTATTTGTTTCATTCTTTGTTTGGGCTTCCCTGATGGCTTAGATTGTAAAGAATCTGCCTGTGGTACATTAGACCCAGATTTGAACCCTGGGTCAGGAAGAGTCCCCTGGAAAAGGAAACGGCAACCCACTCTAGTATTCTTGCCTGGGAAATCCCATGGACAGAAGAGCCTGGTGGGCTACAGTCCATCTGATCGCAAAGAGTCGGACACGACTGAGTGACTAACACTTTTACTTTGTTGATTGAACACCATGAACTAGGTAATGTGATAGGCATTTATTTTTCACACCTGTGAACCCTGGTAAAGGCAAGTTTCTGTTTTAAAATGTGTAAAATTTCTATAAAGAAGAAAATGCCAAGATTCAGGGTCAATGAGTTCTTTCCTCAATTCATGCTATAGGGTCCTCAACTTAAAAAACCATGCACCATCCTCTCCAGACATACTATACACAGGGATCAGATTAGGAATTTTGCACCCTTGGAAGAGGAAGGGGAGGAAGTTCATGTGTGTGTGTGTGTGTGTGTGTGTGTGTGTGTGTGTGTAGAGGTGGAGGGTGTAACACAATAAAGAAACTCTGAGGTAATGGACTGTAATGGAGGGCAGTGAAGTGATGGGGTTTATTCACCCAGACTTCCTCCAGAGCCCCATTCTGGGTGTGGAGGAGACACTCACATGCCCTCAGAAGTTCAGGTCTATCGGCTGCTGTGGACAGCAGCCAGCATTCTCAGTGCCCTTTTCCTCTCTTCATTAGAAGTGAAGAAGAGGGAAGGAGAACTTAGACCAGTATTATACAGTATCCACAGTCTGCCTCAGAGAGAAGATGTGCCCCCAGGAAGCATTTCCTCTTTACAGATGTCTCACACAGCAGAACTCAAATATTACTGATGATGTAAAAGGTTTGCTGATACCAGCCACAGACACATATCAAAGATGCAAAGGCCTGTGATTGCTGCTGTTGTTGAGTCGCTAAATTGTGTCCAACTTTTTTTTGCAGTCTCATGGACTATAGCCCGCCAGGCTCCTCTGTCCATGGGATTCTCTAGACAAGAGTGCTGGAGTGGATTGTCATGTTCTCCCCCAGGGGATCTTCCTGACTCAGGGATTGAACCCATGTCTCCTGCCTTGCAGGTGATTTCTTTACCACTGAGCCACCAGGGAAGCCCTAATAATAATTCCTATTACTTTAAAAAATGTCTAAATAAGCAATACATTTTTACACAAGGCAAATAATGAAAATGGTACCCCTCACCTTCTTACCTGTGTCCCTAGGAACAACCTTTTCATGTGCTGGTACATAGTCCTCTGAAATTCTTCTGTTTAGATATGCTTATATAGTTGTATGATATAGAATGATATTGTTCTATACCTATTATTTGCTACTTACTCTTTTCATTCAAAAACGATCATGGGGACTTCCCTGATGGTCCAGTGGTAAAGAATCTGCCTTCTGATGCAGGGGGCGTGGGTTCGATCCCTGGCAAGGGAACACATGCCACGGGGCAGCTAAGCCCATGCATTGCAACTACTGAGCCCGAGAGCCATGACTAGAAAGAAGCCTGTGAGCCACAAGGAAAGGTCCTACATGCCACAACTAAAAATAAATAAATATTTTCAAAAAATGATTATGGATATCTTTCATGCATCCATCTTCCATGCAACATTGACCCCTTTCGTTCTCTCTCTTCCTTTTTTCTTTCTTTCTTTTTATGGCTATGTAGTATACCATAGGTTGGTATGGTATAATTTATTTAACTCTCCCTTATATCTGATATCTATCTGGGTTGCCTACAATTTTATAATTCTAAAAAAGTATGGACAGAAAATATTTGAGGAAATTAGATGAAATTTTCTAACAAGATTGATTCCTCAAAACAAAATTTCTGGGACAAAGAATATTTACAATTAAGATAAGATTTTCAAAGTGGTTAATATCAAATGTCTATATGAACATTAGAAAAAGATCTCTGAGAAAATCTAAAATTCCACGAGAATGATTCCTGTGAATATTTACAGATATTTGTGGATGCAATTTTGATTTAAAAAAATTGAAAGAAAGAATATGTAATAAAAAAGTGTATGCAACCATTAAAAACTGAAAAAATGGAGTAAATAACTTGAAAATCAAGTCCTGTTACCATTCCATTTTTTTTTAACTCTCATAATCTACTTTGCTCTTAAAAACCTATATTTTTCATAAATCTTTAAATTTCATTTCTAAGTATGAGAATAACTCTTAAATATAGAATATATCCTTGAATATAGTAGTACCACAAATCAAGAATACTATATTTATATTCTGGAGATAGAGAATAGTATAAACTATATTTGAGAACATTTCTTTGAGATGATTCACAATATTTGTATTAATTTTATCTGAAGTTGTTACCAAGTCTGCTTAAGATGCCCCAAATATCAAGTATTCTAGAAAATAATTACTTGTATTTCTACAGAGAGCATTTAATTTTTACTGTACCTGCTATGATAGTTCACACATTATATTTATTTAAAATTCTAACCTTGCTGAAATATAAATTCTCTTTCTTGAAAATTGTTTTACCACTCCCAGTTTCAACCACTCAAGTCATCAAAAATTGGTTTCATTTTTTTAAAGCGAGAACTATAGAAACGGCATATGATGAAAAGGTTTTAACGACTGTTAATGAGAATAAAGAAATTGTGTGGTTTATTTTTCAAGTGTGTGCACGCACTCACACACACAGTAGAGGAGTTGAAAGGAGAGAAAAAAGAGTAAAAGTTCATTGGAACCTGGTGATTTATAGGGAAAGGCCCAGGGGGCTCACATAAAAACCAAAGGGGGGAAGTGGTCGGACATTGGGTCAAATCTCCATTCACATGTTGTGTGATAAAAGGCCGACTGTAGCCTTTCAGCCTTGCTTCTAGTCATAGACAATGGCGATTGCAGAGCAAGACTAATAACAGGATTTAGCATAAATCCACCACAGGAAGTGAACAGTTGTACTGGCAAATAATTAGCCAGGAAACATTTTATAGCAGCATCAGGATGCGTCCGTGAGCTTTCAAACTCTCAATGCATTTGTGATCATGAAAACATAATTAGTTCTCAGTGATTGTAATTTTGTGTGTGTGTGTGTTTGTTGTAGGATGGTTCTTTCCCCGCTCCTTTCTTTTCACAACCAGGCCTTCTTTTTCCTGTCCTAATTTAGCAGCCCCAGAGAGGGTTTTGAAGTCTCCAGGGAGGGGTTTAGAATGTTCTCTTTTTTCTCCTGCTGATGCTTTTTTATTGCAAGGTGGATGGTGTTTATTTTGCACGGCTAACAAGTGAGTTCAAAGCAGCGCGTTGCTCTTGAACTCCTGCCAGACTCCCAAGGCTGAAAGCCCTCCTGCTTGGCAGAGCCGACCTGTACTATCAAAGCCTGACTAATTTGCAAAGGAATGTCAAAATGACTGGTGCACCGCATTTTCCACCACCCGCTTCATTTGACACTTAAAGGAAAGCTAAGTGGGAGTGTAAAAGGAAGGAAATTCATTCAAGGCAGCACACCCAATAATGTGAATTAATTTCACAAGAAAATGGGAGCTCTTAGCTGAGGACTTCCCGTTTTCATCTTCTTTGCTCTTTCTTTGAGTGACTGTTTTAGTAAAGGCTGCTAATAAACATTATGTTTCTGTTCTCACACTCTCTGTATTAAGAGTAAATGCTGTCATTAGAGGTGGCTCTGAAATTCTTTGTGTCAGAGTGTCTGCATGAGGCCACTTCATCTGATTTAGTCACACCAGTTAAAGAGCAGCCCTACGAAGACAAACAGTTGGTCCAGGCCAGTATTTTCCTCCTTTCAACACTCTAAAAAAAAAAAAAAAAAAATCAAATCAGAACCAAAAGATCCATGCTTATGAACAAATATAAATTGTTGCAGGGGGGAAGACTGATAAAACAGATTCCTGGATTGGGTTTTTGAAAGCATAATTTAGAGATGATGCTTGGAAATTCTTTTCAGCACACATAAGACAGATTCATGCTAAAGCAAAAGTCACAGAGTCAGGAAAAACAGAATATAAGACTTTGACTTGTTTTAGTCTGATTTTAATTTCTGTGTACCGGTTGCATTTTATAATCTCAAACTTTATTTAAAACTTATATTGAAAATATAGGGGCTTCCCTAATGGTAGAGTGGATGAGAATCCCCCTGGCAATGTAGGGGACACAGGTTCGGTCCCTGGTCTGGGAAGATTCCACATGCTGCAGGCAGCTAAAGCCTGTGCATCTAGAATGAACCCAAGCTCTAGAGCCCATGAGCCCCAACTACTGAGTCCAAGTGTCTAGAGCCCGTGCTCCACAAGGGAAGCCACCACAGCGAGAAGCTTGCGCACCACGGCAAAGAGCAGCCTCCACACACTGCAACTAGAGAAAGCCTGTGTGCAACAAAAAAGACCCAGCAAGAGCAGAAAGAAGGAAGGAAAAAGGGAATAAAATATGACATTGGCATATTCTCCCCAAGTAAGATTATCTATGAATCATTCGTTTCTCCCAGCACTGACCCTAGAACTTCGTTAATGTTCCTGATTTTTTTCCTAGTGAGTTTCCAGAATTTATATAAATTGCCATCGACATCACCTAGGTAAATAGTGGCCTCACCCTCAAAACTATCTGCTTGCTTGCGTCTTTAACACCCTCTTCTTTACAGTTCCCCACTACCTAACACTGAACTCTGTATCCCAATATGCTATTAAAAGTGAACCTTATCTCTGCGATCAGCATGTGAGGTAAGGGAATTCCCTGGTGGTCTAGGGGTTAGGACTCTGTATTTTCACTGCCTTGGTCGGGGTTCAATTCTTGGTCTGAGAACTAAGATCCCACAACCCGCCTTCTCCCACCCCTACCCCCCACCAGCGGGGGGTGGGAGGAGGTAGGGGAAAAAAGAGAATGTAAAGCAATCTAGAGGGAAAGCTTCTGCCAGTGCCTCAGTTGCTTGGAAGTGAGTTACTGAGGAATGGTCATGCTGTAGTGCCTACAAAGTGAGTTTGTGTCAAACTGAGAACCACACTGCTAATGGAGGAGGGTGGAGTCGGAGAAACCCAGGTTTGGATTACAACTGAAGTACTTACTAGTGAAGTGAGCAAGACTAATTAATGAAGCTTTCAAAGTCTTAGCTTCCTCCTGTACACTGAGGCTAATAATAGCACCTACCTTGTGGTTTATTGCTCTCAGAGCAGTAAATGTCAAATAGTAAGCACTCAAGAAATGCTAGCTATTGCAAAACCATAGCAACTTGGAAATGACATGCTGCCAGAATCAGGAGTCTCCTTAAGTGGGCTTAAAAAATAAGAATCACCTTATAGGAACAGGAATATAGAAATGAGCCAGGTTCCAGGTTTGGTGTACCAAAGTCTTCAATTCGGTCTTGGCAAAGCTCTTGGCTCTCTTCTCTGAGTTAGTTTTGTCCTCCCTCTGGCTCCCTTCATGGTGGCAAAATAGCTGCCAATGACAACTGGGGTAACCATCTTCTTTGTTCAAGTCCAGCAGAAGAGACAGAAGAAGGAAAGAGCTTCCTCAACCATGAAATAAAACTTCCTGCAGCGTGACTGGGACACCCTCAGCTCTGTATCCATCACATGCAACATGAGAGCAGTCACCAAGTACCCTAAATATCTTAAGCCTAGTTTCCTGGTTCAGCTTAGCTTCTATCAAGGGGGAAGAGGCATCAAAGATACTACACTAGAAAGAAATTCAGTAATTCATTCAGCAAATATTTTAAGTACCTATACTGAAAGGCTAGAATTGAGGGCCAGTTTCTTCTGATTTCAAAGTCTGAAGGTACCATTTACTACGTCTCTTTTTCTTCATCTGTTAATACTATCTTTCTGATAGGACTTTTAAAGTTAGATAAATTAAAACCTGTAAAGTACTGCAAACTGCCTGATACTTACTAAGAGTAGAATAGCTGTTAGCTTTTCTTATTACCTTGTACTGGGCCCTGTGCTGGGTTTTCTTTTATGTGTTATCATCATGAAATTTGCTTTCTAGTTATTGCTGTTGTTCAGTCATTAAGTTGTGTCTGACTCTTTGCAACCTACAGCACACCAGGCTTCCCTGCCCTTCACTATCTCCTGGAGCTTGCTCAAACTTATGTCCATTGAGTCAGTGGTGCCATCCAATCAACTCATCCTCGGTTGCCCCCTTCTCTTCTTGCCCTGAATCATTTCCAGCATCAGGGTCTTTTCCAATGAGTCGGCTCTTTGCATCAGGTGGCCAAAATATTGGAGTTTCACCTTTAGCATCAGTCCTTCCAATGAATATTCAGGATTGATTTCCTTTAGGATTGGCTCCTTAGTTTGATCTCCTTGCAGTCCAAAGGACTCTCAAGAGTCTTCTCCAGCACCACAGTTTGAAAGCATCAGTTCTTCCGCACTCAGCCTTCTTTATGGTCCAACTCTCACATCTATACATGACTACTGGAAAAACCATAGCTTTGACTAGACAGACATTTGTTGGAAAAGTAATGTCTCTGCTTTTTAACATACTACCTAGTTTGGTCATAGCTTTTCTTCCAAGGAACAATTATCTTTTAATTACAAGACTGCAGGAACTGTCTGCAGTGATTTTTGGAGCCCAAGAAAATAAGATCTGCTGCTGTTCCCATTGTTTCCCCATCTATTTGCCATGAAGTGATGGGTCCTATCTAGGTGATGGACATAAGGCCTATAAATAAATAAGCAGAATAAGGTAGTGCAATGGCATAATTAAATTTTGGCCATGCACAGAAGAGTCAGAGGGAAAAGCAATCAACTGATTTAGATCAGGGGGTAACCTTGGATTTGAGACTTGAATGAAGATTAGGTGTTTGCTGCATAAGTTAGGGCTTGGAAAAAGGCATTCTAAGCAGAGGATGTTACATGAACAAAAACATAAAGATGTGAAATAGAAAGAGATCTTAGGGCAACTGAGTATCAAAGCTGTGGGAAGAGGAAGGAAGAGAGGGGGAAAGGGCTATAAAAGGTGTAACTGGAAGGACACAATGAAGGAGTGTGTCTTAGGGGTTTTGCTTAAGAGATTGTCATCTATCACCACCCTCCTTTATCCTTGGACTCCCCTGGTGGTTCAGATAGTAAAGTGTCTGCCTACAATGCAGGAGACCCGGGTTCAATCCCTGGGTTGGGAAGATCTCCTGGAGAAGGAAATGGCAACCCACTCCAGTATTCTTTCCTGGAAAATCCCATGGAGAGGAACATGGCTGGTTATAGTCCATGGTGCTACACAGAGTCAGAGATGAGGGGAGATGTCAAATAGACAATCAAGTGATGGCAAATACACTCCTATCAAATAAAAGTCTGAAACTCAAATGAGAAGTCTGGGCTAGAAACATGTTTACGAGTCAGTTTTTTCCATATCTGGTAGTTGAATTCTTAACGCATAGTCAAAAGAGCAGGGGAGAGAGAGAAGTGTGAGGCAAGAATGGGGTCTACACTGAGGAACTAAAACTTTTAATTAATGGCGAGTAGAAGATAGTGAATCTGTTAAAGGTCAGTAAAGAAGCAGCTAGAGAGGTACGAGAAATACGAGGAGAGGGTCATCCAAGGGCAGTTAGAAGGAGTTAGGTTAACAGAAGAACTTTGAAGATTATCAACAGAAAAACATGGAGGCATTACCATTAGACCATTATAGAAGTCAAGAGACAAGAGAATTTAGACAAGAATTAATTGGTAAAGAGCTTGTAAAAATCATACCTGGCACTTATTTGTGTCAGACATTTCTTCAAGCACTTTAGATGGATAGCTCATTGAATTCTCCAGCCATCCTAGGAAAATCACATTTGCAAACATGAGCTCCAATCTACAGATGAGAAAACCCATCCCCAGATAATTAAATCACTTGCCCATGATCACAGGTCCTAAGACAGAATTTAGCCCCAGCCACATCTAATGCTAGAGTCTGCAGTTATTGTTTCTTTGTTACTGCAAAGAACGCTATGATGTGGGCGGTGACCTTCTCTGCTGACTCAACAGGCAGAAGCTTAGGGTATAATGTGTTTAAAAAAAAAAGCTCAGGTGGCAAAGAAATGAAGACAGTGACTAATTTTAGCAGCTAACAAATGGAAACATCACAAAAGATTGTAATATCATTAAATATACTAAGAAATGACAGTGTGACGAAATATGAAAAAGCTGTTAAGTTTAGGCTTTTTTGAAGGAAGCTTACTGACTCAGATTCACTTGGTAATGTGTGTGTTAGCTGCTCAGTAGTGTCTGACGCTTTCAACCCCCTAGACCATAGCCCCCCAGGCTCCTCTGTCTGTGGAATTCTCCAGGCAACAATATAGAGTGGGTAGGCACTTCTCAGGGCATCTTCCCAACCGAGGGATCGAACCTGAGTCTCCTGAATTGAAGTCAGATTCTTTGCCATCTGAGACGCCTTAATAATACCAAAATAAAAATGTAGAATAAAGATGACATATATGAAGTGACCCCAATTATTAAAAAACATTTTGTATGAAAGAAATTCCATGATATGTCAAAAATGATTGTTTACTCTGAGTGGAAAAATTTTGAGTGATTTCTTATATTCTTTAAATGTATATATAACTTCTAATTTTCTACAGTGAATATGTACAATTTTTGTGATCAGAGTGATGAAAGTTACTTTGCCAATTTCTTTTTATTGAAGTTCTATGTTAATTTTCTATATTCTATATTTGATCCTTGTAAAGATGTCCTTGAGATTAACTAGGAAAAAATGTTTTCTTATTTAGTTTATGAAGAGTAAAAATCGCCTATTTTTTTCTATGACACATTTATTTCAGGAAATAGTTAATATTATTGAAAATTCACCAGTTACAACTTAAGCATCAGCTCTGTTTAAAGTTCACATAGACGCAAAGTTCATCTTTACTATGCAGGATAAAGTGTAATTGTGAATAATAGGTAAAGTCTAATTTCACCATCTCTCGTTAATTAAATTCCCTTGGCTTAAGTTCACTTAGTGATAAAAAGTACCTGTAGAGTTGTTTTCCCAGCCCTCTTCCAAATATACTTTTTCCTTTAAACCACTGCAGGGGCTGTTTCTCTTAAGATTTTAGCTTCTTGGGAAAGAATTAACATTTCTACATACACTTCCAAAAATCAAACCCTGGTGTAAATTGGTCTCTTCACAGCAATCAAATACCTAATTTAGTCATTGTTTTCATATATATTTACCCACAGAATTTTACTGAATTTATTTCTGCCATATTCAATTCAGTAAACAATTATTAAATGCCTTTTATGTGTCAGCAATAGGATAACAAGATGAAAAAGGCAATGGATTATCTTTTTAAAAGCTCACACACGTCAGCAAATGTGAACACATATTTAGAAGTGTGTGCTCATGTGTGCGCACGCGCGTGCGCACAGACACACACACACACACACAGTTGAATTGGGAATGGTGAGAATTCAGGAGCCAGGGGAAACTTCAAAATGTAGAATGTCGTCCACGTGATTCTTGTCAGCTGAACAGTAGCTCATCATGCAAACAAGGTCATGAGAGATATTTTAGTGAGTTCAAGATTGTGAGCAAGGATGTTAGATATGTAAAAATGCATGATGTGTGCAGGAGATGGTGGTGAGTTTGGTAAGATCTTCCCTTATGGGCACAAGGGAAGGTGTTGTATGAGGTAAGAACCCCTCATAGTTTCATGTTACAAAGTGAGGTTTATACACTGTGAGCAGAGAAGATGCATTGCTGCTGCTGCTGCTAAGTCACTTCAGTCGTGTCCGACTCTGTGCGACCCCATAGATGGCAGCCCACCAGGCTCCTCCATCCCTGGGATTCTCCAGGCAAGAACCTTGGAGTGGGTTGCCATTTCCTTCTCCAATGCATGAAAGTGAAAAGTGAAAGTGAAATCACTCAGTCGTGTCCAACTCTTAGCGACCCCAAGGACTGCAGCCTACCAGGCTCCTCCATCCATGGAATTTTCCAGGCAAGAGTACAGAATGGAGTGCCATTGCCTTCTCTGGAAGATGCATTACTAGTCTTTAATACCAAATAAGATGATTATAAATTCAATTTTTATCATGGAAAGAAAATTCTGGTGACACTAGAAGAAAACTAGGAATGATGCTGAAAACTCAGTTTCTCTGTACACCAATGCTGAATCAAATCTCAGAGACAGAGTTTTGGGTAAAGTAGAAAAGGATAGCTTTACTAAGTTGCTAGGCAAAAGGAGCCACAGCAGGCTGATGCCCTCAAAATGTATGTCCCAACGGAGAAGTTTCATAGTAATTGTTCAAAGAGGGCATGATCTGATAATGGACATTCTTCTGATGGGTTGGTTGGTAGTGAGGAGTCAGCATCATCAACCTTCACGTCCAACTGAGGTAAGCATCCTTCATAGTTTCATGTTACAAAGGGACATATATGCTTGTGGGCAGTCTATCATTATTAATCATTAACTTCCCCCACCTGGAGGGCTTCTCTGGTGGTTCAGCTGGTAAAGAATCTGCCTGCAATGCAGGAGACCTGGGTTCCACCCCTGGGTTGGGAAAGATCCCCTGGAGAAGGGAAAGGCTACCCACTCCAGTATTCTGGCCTGGAGAAGTCCATGGACTGTATAGTCCATGGGGTCCCAAAGAGTCAGACATTACTGATTGACTTTCACTTCACTTCTCCCACCTGGAGGGGGTTTCAGTATCTTCAAAACATCTCAAAGATACTGTGTGTATCCACTGATGTGGAACCAGGACCTTGCCCCAGTGCTGCTCTAGACTGTTTGTTTCTCCCTAGTCTTGCATCCCCTCCCTTCCCTAATTAACAACTGCTTGAATCTGCCCACTGGAACTCAGGGAAGGTCACGGAGGCTGAATGAAAGCTATGGCCTGTAATCAAAGGAAGGAGGGACACAGAAAGGCTTTGTGCTCAGGAGCCCCACAGGGCCCTGCTGGGTATCAGGAATGGAGTTTTCCCAAGACTCTAGGAGAAACAGATAGTAAAGATCTGAATGAGGTTCCTGACATGGAATAATGTAATAAAAGGGACCCCTTTGAAAGAAGTTTCTTTGGATGAATAAGGGCAAGGGAGAAGTTAAGGGTGGCACCACTCTCTTCTCAGAGAAAACCCTCACTCACGGGGTCAGCTGCCATACATCAGTTGGTATCTCCCAGACATACATCTACAAAACAGACACATATTGCCCAGCATCTAACTGTTATAACCACAGCAGTCCCATCAGCACTTCAAAGTCAGCGGGTTGGATTTGAGTAGAAATTGTAAACTTCACCTCTCCACACGTTTCTCATCTATGCACTGTTGCTCAAAATGTAGCCCCTCCCAGGGATCATTTGTGAGTCCTTTCACTTACCTCCACCCATCCTCTTAATCAGCAGATCTGGTTGATTTTTACCCTTGAAATTTTTTTCCCCCCAAATCTTTCCTTGTTTTTCTGTCAATGTTGTCACTACCTCCGAGTCCCTCATTTTCTTAAACACAACTACCTTTGCTCCTTTCAATTTGTAAAAAAAAAAAAAAAAAAACCTGCCAAATAAATCTCCTAAGGATTCTTTTTCATTTCACCTGTTTCAGGCCATCATCATTTCTCATCATCATTTGTTACTTTATTGCTTTGTAACTGAACTGACCAGTTCAGTTCCTCAGCAGTTTTCACCTGGTCTGCTAAGGCACCCAAAGCTGGCTTCTCTGCTTTTCATTCCATCTTTCTTCCACTCCTTCCCCCAAGCAAGCCATTGAAAAACAGATCTGCCTGCATCACGCTTCTGCTTATGATGTTTCCCTGTCTCTGTCGTCTACACCATGAAGGTCTCAAGCTTTAGCAAGGCTGACCGTGCCCTCTAAGCAGCCTCCACCTCTTCCTTCCCACCACCAACTCCCACCACTCCTGGTTTCAGTAAGTAGCTCCTAATTACATACATGAGCATAACCATAAATACAAGTTACCGAAATCAAGGCTATTTAGTCATTTCCCGTTCTTTTATGCACAACCTGTGGTTCTTCAATACCTCTAATTATTGAATTAGAATATATTACCACATTCTCCAAGTCACACACAGTAGTCAAGTATTCTTGGATAATGATAATTACAAATGTAATTCTTGGGCTCTGTATTGAGATAGTTAAACTTTGATAACATTTCCACAACTGAATTACAGAACAATTATTATGTCTCAAGCTAAATCAGATTCATTTTCAACCTTGGCAAATAATAATTAACAATAATGATGATAATCGCTACCATGTATTGAAGACTGACAATGCCCCAACTGTTCGTAGATAGATGCTACATCTGCATTATCTCCACAGCTTTCTAAGTGTGTATCACTGTCCCCATTTTACAGATGGATAGATTCAATCTCAGTGAGGCTCAGATTCATCCCTAACAGTGGTGCCCAACCTTTTTGGCCCCTGGGATTGATTTCCTGGAAGATAAATTTTCCATAGACTGGGGGTAGGGGGATGGTTTTGAGATGATTCAAATACATTGTATTTATTCTGCACTTTCTTTCTTTCTTTTTTTTTTTTTACACTTTATTTCTAATGTAATGGTGCCACCGATCTGACAGGATGTAGTGGTCAATGGCCTGGAGGTTGGGGATCCCTGTAACCCCAAAATAGTAATGTTAAAGTGAAGACTGGCCCCAGATCTCTGATTCGAAGACTCATTCTCTTATTACCATGCTGCTGCTGCTAAGTCGCTTCAGTCGTGTCCAACTCTGTGTGACCCCATAGACAGCAGCCCACCAGGCTCCACTGTTCCTGGGATTCTCCAGGCAAGAACACTGGAGTGGGTTGCCATTTCCTTCTCCAATGCAGGAAAGTGAAAAGTGAAAGTAAAGTCGCTCAGTCGTGTCCAACTCTGTGTGACCCCATGGACTGCAGCCTACCAGGCTCCTCCGTCCATGGGATTTTCCAGGCAAGAGGACTGGAGTGGGGTGCCATTGCCTTCTCCACTAACCACCATGAGATACTATTTAATAAATGCATTCATTATAATAACAAATTAAAGTTATCTTTAATCCTATGCTTACGTGTATGCTTTGTTTTCACCTCTTTTGTGTGAAATAGTTGGCCAATACTAAAACATTTCCAGAACTTTCAAAGGATGATAACATCTGTAACTGCACTTGGCAATTCAGAAACTCCTCCTAAATTAATGGCGTATAAAAGAACAATCTTAAACATACCTAAAAATCTGCCCATGTCAAGCCTTATATAAGCCTCAGACTGTTAAAATCTTCCTCACGGAAGACTTTTTCAGGGAAGACTCCCTCCACCATACACATTAGGTTAGGACCCCAGTCCCCACATTTCCTCACTTGGTCCTCCCTTTTTATTATACCATTTAATGGACATGAGTTTGCGCAAGCTCCAGGAGATAAGGACGGACAGGCAAGTCTGGCGTGTTGCAGTCCATGGAGTCACAAAGACTTGGACATGACTGAGCAACTGAACTGAACTAACAATTATAATTTAATGTTTGTCTATAATCATTTATTCAGGAAAATCTCCCACAGAGAGATTAAGAAGAGGGAATTTGTCAGTCTTCTTTACATTGTCTCGTATCCTCTCACCCCCTGTCTAGCCCAGTACATGTGCTTTTGCATTTAACAGATAAATGGATGCACGAGCAAAAGTGGCAAGAAATACAGATGTGGGAGCATACTTTTACTGCAGGAATCATCAAATATAAATTGCAGGAACTGAGGAATGGGAGCTGTTGAGAGAGATAAAAATCCAGTTTTAAAGGACCACGGGTGCTATGCTGAGAAGTTATAAACAATACAAAAAGTACAATGACTAACACAGTCAGTTGAGTGTAACAGTCTTGTGATGGAAAATAGTAGATCATCAATTTTATTACTGTAAGTTTCTAGTTAAATGAGCTTTTTTCAATAGCATGACTAAACAATGTAGACAATTCTCCTGATAATTATCACATATTTTTTCACTACTGCTTTGTAGATTAAACCTTAACCACACTTAAGTTCTCAGACACCATTCACCTTACTTTCCCATACAATTTTCCAAATCTCTGCACTCATGGCATAAAGGGATGTAGTAGTCACAGCTCTCCATGCTTACAGTTCCTAGTTTGGCTGATGAGACAGGGGAGAGAGGGTGATCAAAAATCACACAGAACACATTTCATTCTCTACCTGAATGGTGTCCTAGTTCAGTGTAGAGATGATGGCAATAGTACATGGACAACAGTTCTCATTTTCTGTGCTTATAAAACTAGCTTGTCATGAATTGAAAAATATCTTATGGAATCCAGTAACTTAATTTTCTTAACTTGTAAATTTTTATCATAATGTAGGAAACAATGATTGTAGGGAAAGAAACTTATGAATAATGTGAGATTCTCATGTGGAAAATTTATAGTCACAAAATTATGTATACGATCTACAGCAAGTCAGTTGTTTCCCAGGGCCTCTGTTGACTTATTTTTATAATGTCTGATTGCCTTTTGCGGTAGCCAATCTCCTCGATGACACCCAGTGATCTTTACCTATTTATATTCATACTCAACATGTAGCTCCCTCTTATTGTACCTGGGTAGGTCTGTGAATAGCAGCATACAGCAGAAGTAATGGTGTAACATGTCTGAGGTTAGGTTATAAAAAAGACTGTGGCTTCTGCGCTTCTGCTTTGAATGACTTCTCCTTCTTTCCCTTTCTCTTATTTTTCTTCTCTCCCTCTCTCTTATTCTCCTTCCTTCTCTTGGAATAAGCCAGTTGCCATAAACTCTGATTCTGTCTATAGAGAGTCCCACACAGCAAGAGACTGAAGTCTCTGGCCAATAGTCAGGAAGTGAAGCCTGCCAATAACCATGTGACTGAACATGGAATTAGACCCTTCAATCAGTCAAGTCTTGAGATGACTACATCCTAGCAGATATCTTGACTGTAATCTCTAGATAGACCCTGAGCCAGAATTTAGCCAAGTAAGGTGCTTCCAGATTCCAGACCCTGAGAAATTCAATTCAGTTCAGTTCAGTCGCTCAGTCGCGTCTGACTCCCTGCCACTCCATGAATCGCAGCACGCCAGGCCTCCCTGTCCATCACAAACTCCTGGAGTTTACTCAAACTCATGTCCATTGAATCAGTGATGACATCCAGCCATCTCATCCTCTTTCGTCCCCTTCTCCTCCTGCCCCCAATCCCTCCCAGCATCAGGGTCTTTTCCAATGAGTCAACTCTTCGCATGAGGTGGCCAAAGTATTGGCATCTCAGCTTCAGCATCAGTCCTTCCAATGAACACCCAGGACTGATCTCCTTTAGGATGGACTGGTTGGATCTCCTTGCAGTCCAAGGGACTCTCAAGAGTCTTCTCCAACAACACAGTTCAAAGGCATCAATTTTTCGGAGCTCAGCTTTCCTCACAGCCCAACTCACATCCATACATGACCACTGGAAAAAGCATAGCCTTGACTAGATGGACCTTTGTTGGCAAAGTAATGTCTCTGCTTTTTAATATGCTATCTAGGTTGGTCATAACTTTCCTTCCAAGGAGTAAGCATCTTTTAATTTCATGGCTGCAATCATCATCCACAGTGATTTTGGAGCCCAAAAAAGTAAAGTCTGACACTGCTTCCACTGTTTCCCCATCTGTTTCCCATGAAGTGATGGAACCAGATGCCATGATCTTAGTTTTCTGAATGTTGAGCTTTAAGCCAACTTTTTCACTCTCCTCTATCACTTTCATCAAGAGGCTTTTTAGTTCCTCTTCACTCTCTGCCATAAGGGTGGTGTCATCTGCATATCTGAGGTTATTGATATTTCTCCCAGCAATCTTGATTCCGGCTTATGCTTCTTCCAGACCAGCGTTTCTCATGATGTATTCTGTATATAAGTTAAATAGGCAGGGTGACAATACAGTCTTGATGTATTCCTTTTCCTATTTGGAACCAGTCTATTGTTCCATGTCCAGTACTAACTGTTGCTTCATGACCTGCATATAGGTTTCTCAAGAGGTGGGTCAAGTGGTCTGGTATTCCCATGTCTTTCAGAATTTTCCATAGTTTATTGTGATCCACACAGTCAAAGGCTTTGGCATACTCAATAAAGCAGAAATAGATGTTTTTCTGGAACTCTCTTGCTTTTTCGATAATCCAGCAGATGTTGGCAATTTGATCTCTGGTTCCTCTCCTTTTCTAAAACCAGCTTGAACATCTGGAAGTTTATGATTCACATATTGCTGAATCCTGGCTTGGAGAATTTTGAGCATTACTCTACTAGCGTGTGAGATGAGTGCAATTGTGCAGTACTTTGAGCATGCTTTGGCATTGCCTTTCTTTGGGATTGGAATGAAAACTGACCTTTTCCAGTCCTGTGGCCACTGCTGAGTTTTCCAAATTTCCTGGCACATTGAGTGCAGCACTTTCACAGCATCATCTTTCAGGATTTGAAATAGCTCAACTGGAATTCCACCACCTCTACTAGCTTTGTCTATAGTGATGCTTTCTAAGGCCCACCTGACTTCACATTCCAGGATGTCTGGCTTAGGTGAGTGATCACACCATCGTGATTATCTGGGTCGTGGAGATCTTTTTTGTACAGTTCTTCTGTGTATTATTGCCACCTCTTCTTAATATCTTCTGCTTCTGTTAGGTCCATACCATTTCTATCCTTTATCGAACCCATCTTTGCATGAAATGTTCCCTTGGTATCTCTAATTTTCTTGAAGAGATCTCTAGTCTTTCCCATTCTGTTGTTTTCCTCTATTTCTTTGCATTGATTGCTGAGGAAGACTTCCTTATCTCTCTTTGCTATTCTTTGGAACTCTGCATCCAAATGGGAATATCTTTCCTTTTCTCCTTTGCTTTTTGCTTCCCTTCTTTTCACAGCTATTTGTAAGGCCTCCTCAGACAACCATTTTGCCTTTTTGCATTTCTTTTCCATGGGGATGGCCTTGATCCCTGTCTCCTGTACAATGTCATGAACCTCTGTCCATAGCTCATCAAGCACTCTGTCTATCAGATCTAGTCCCTTAAATCTATTTCTCACTTCCACTGTATAGTCATAAGGGATTTGATTTAGGTCATACCTGAATGGTCTAGTGGTTTTCCCTACTTTCTTCAATCTAAGTCTGAATTTGGCAATAAGGAGTTTATGATCTGAGCCATAGTCATCTCCCGGACTTGTTTTTGCTGACTGTATAGAGCTTCTCCATCTTTGGCTGCAAAGAATATAATCAATCTGATTTCAGTGTTGACCATCTGGTGATGTTGAATTCTTAAATGGTTTAAGCTGCTAGGGTTGAGGATAATTTCTTACACAGCACCTACTTCAGCAAACTGTTATAAGTTTGCTGAGTAACTGTTATTAATTTCTTAAAATTAAAGAAAATTCTCCCCAAAAATGATTTTAAAAGTACTATCCAAAGTCAATATATCATCATGGGTAATTCCATCTCCCACTAAGTCTAATAATAGAATTCTTCAAGTGTCTAAAGAGAAATTTCAGCCTAACAAGTTCAGCTATGAAATCTTCAAATCTCAGTAAAATGAAAGATATCTGAACTATCACAAGCTGTGTTCACTACTATGGACAATCCATAATTCACTTTGTCCTGCTTTCACAGTGAAAATTGAGCTGTAGTCATTTGTTTTCTTAGAAACAAAACAAACAAACAAAAAAAGTGCTTGCTATTCTTCACTAAAGAGTTATTACTCTTTGGCACTAAGAAGATAATAATCCTACTGGGATTAAAAAAAAATACAAAATTGCATTCGTAATCTTAGCACTCACTTTAAAAGAGATCCAATGTGTGACAATAACATATACATAGCCATATATACTCCCCAAGAAATATTTATCTTTTAGGATGCTAACATCTTGGCATGGTTCTTTCGAACTGAAGCTGATAATACCTCTAATAGTCTGTAGAGACACAAATAAATAAATCATACCATTATCTAAAGTAACTTTAGGATGCGAAATTATGAAAACACAGTTAATGCTTTGTAGCTTTAAATTCAGGATTAATATGTTTTAGAAATGACTTAAACTCCAGGATTAATATAATTCTGAAAGTAGTTAAAAGAAAACTATTTCTGGCAATTGATGCTCTACAATAATATATGCCTCATTTATGACTCATTTTCCACATGAAAAAAGTTTTGACAAATACATTTGTTAGAAACAAAATGTAATAAATAAACCAAAGAAATAAAAATGCATTATAAAGTTGTAAAACACCATATAAATAATAGGTACTATAATATTGGCAATGTTATTATGAAAGCAAACCATAAAATGGCATTTGGGGAAAAATGCAGACAGTGAGAAAATAAAAGCTACATAAAAGAAGGAGGGAGGAAATTTAGACTCAGTCATGTCAAAAGCAATGTCCTTCTTAACCACTGAAAAAAAGCATTTACATTAGGACAGATTTAAATTGTTTTAACATTGGAAGACCATAATCTTCTGAAGGGCGGAAATCTAAGGAAAGATCTGTGAATAATAAAGGAATTGAAAATAGAATAAAGGGTGGAGGGAGGACAAGAAAGAAAAAAGTAAGTAAAAGGATGCTTCTTAACAATATGATTTGAATTTAAAACTCAGAACATCTGCTTTTTATAAAAATCTGGGTGTATTAACTCATAATAAAGGAACATGTTGACTTGCAGCTTCAGTTGCAAGGAAGAAATAAAAAGACAAACCAGAAAAAAGCAAAAACACCATCTTGAGGACAATAAAGTTTTCTCTGATTCAAAAGGGGAGTTTCTTACAGACAAGTGGCAGCTGTATGTACATCTGAAACGCACTCTTCTGAAAAAATCTAAATCAAACAATCTATTCATTTATGGGAATAAAAAATTCTCTGTATGTATAAAAGGACATTTCTTCTACATTTGATCTTCTTTTCCAATCATAGCATCATTTAAGAACTTTGCATAATAAAAAGAAAAATTTCTAATGGTAAAAACATTTAATATTTTTTAATTTGATAGGGCTCTCCAAATGTACTGTTACAAATACTTAATCCTTGACTGAAAAGGAAAAATCTGGATTCCAAAATTTTTTGAACTTTCAGTTTTATTTTTCACTCAAGGCAATAAATTCTTCTTTTGGTAACAATCGCTAATACAGTATTTCCTTTCCTGTAGAGGCAACTTTAAACTGTATTTTCTGGGAATTGTGTAACTTATTTTTGTTAATTTCTGGGAATAAAATACATTACTATAAAATTCTTTAGGTTCTGGGAAAAAACTATCTAATATAATGTTTACTTCCTGAGAATATGGTTTTGTACCTCTCAGTGTAGCCAAATTCCATTACTCTCAGATTCTTATTAGTTTTCTACATCTGGTTCTATTTATTTTTGGTTTTACATCTAGTAAAATTATTATTTTCTAATTTGGTTTTACAAATCACTATGTTTATAGTATATCTGAATCCCCTTCCATATCTCATATGGTTTAGGGGAAAAAAAATGAGCTTTTCTAGGATTTGAATATTTTGTGACCATACTATTTCTCACGTGCATCAGGTTAACATAACCTGGGAAAAGAGGATCTGGGTAGAAGGAGATTGCAGAAGAGAGTCCTGACGGAGCCATTGAATCCATCAATTGCACGGGCAGAAGGGTTTTACAGTTCTCCGTTGTCATCATTTCAGCCAGGCCTACAAATTTCCATCCCTACCCCAAGTACTGCACTGGCTTGAATTGTCTATTTTACTGTCCAAATCATTGGCTACCTGCCAAAACACTACTTTGGCTTTAGAAAGAACTCCTTAAGTGAAGTGGAGGGTTAAGACAATTATTGAGATATTTCAGTCCAAAAAATGCATTGAGAAAAACCTGCCTTTTTTGACTTTACCAAAATTGGTATCCTCTATGTGGATGCAATCATTGCATAATTGTTGTACTTTGCATCTACAGACACTTTCTTTGTGTAGACAGGAACTGACTTCATCTTGATTTCTAATCCTAAGCAGTTCTGAGTTTAGTTGCCTCCTACCAAGTTTTTAGAGGCTTGTCTATGCTAACATACAATAGAGATATCTTTTCTATTATCTTCATAACTCTTTATGAAGCATTTGATGAAATGGTTTTTTAAAGCTTGGTTGACCATGACATAGGTCAGTGATTTTATTTGTATTGTGTAAAAGTCATATACAATTCTTTGTGAGAGAATTTAATAGTCCATCAAAACAACATTTAATAAAAGCATATTCTGAATTCATGTGTGTATGTGTATGTGCTTGGAGTGATACAACTGATGTTTATCTTCCAAACTCTGTTTTCATCAGTGAAGGGAAGTCAATGATTATTTAAAAATGAAAATTGTCTAGATATATCAATGATTTTGTAAACATGGAAATAAGCTGGAAATAAAATTACATATATAAAACATAAGAATTCCACATAAGGATCCCAGAGAATATATTAACTGATCACAGTCCCCATACATTTTTTTCTCTAAAAATATCTATTGTATAAGTTAAATATTTTTTAAAATATAATTCATATACTAGAGCTCACTCTATGCTTAAGTGTGATATAAATTCTCATAGTAATTTATAAGAGCTATTATTATCACCCTTCATCAAATACGGTAGGGATAATCATTAGGGATGCCCACAAATATTATAATACTCCTCCTTCTGGGTACATGGTAAGTTGGGAACAGATGAATGACTTGTTTGGTCAAAGAAATGTGTGCGAAAGTAGTTTTTGTCATTTTCATGAAAAAAAAAAAATGTTTTTAGTGCTCATGTGTGATTCTCAATGTCCCTTTCCCATTGCCTTGATGAGCATCTTATCAAGATGGCGTTTTCATCAACCTGAGTCCCAGAGACTACCAGAAGTAAAGGCCCCCTGAAGAACAACTTGAATATGTAGAATGGTTGTTAAAAAACATTTTGTTGTTGATTTACTGAGATTTTGGACTTCGTTGCTGCCGCATAACCTAGCTCTTCCTGACTAATAACCAACTGCTGCTGGTAATTGACTGTTGTTTAGTCTGGAACACCAAAATCTAATTTTTTTGAAAGGAAGACAAAGAGGGGAAAAAAATGCCTTTGTGCTGCTGCTGGGTCTTCTCACATTTCCTTCTTTCATTTCCTGTCTTCCTATAGTAAATTTGAGCCCTAAAACGGAATTCTTTTAGACTCTCAGGCAGAAGTGGAGATACAGAAGCTTATGGATGGAAGTTTGTTTATGGATACAGAAGCTAAACATGGAAGCTTTCCATTTAGGACTCAATAGAAATAGCTTATTTGCTATATTGGGAATATGGTGGGAAAAAATGCTGACTTAGAATATCAAGTATCTTTTCTTTCTCACTGTAAGCTTTGAAGTATAAGCTGGAATCGTGTGACATTATCATTTACATGGGTCAGAATGCTTAAAAAATGATAAAATACCGTCAAGATGATCACCTCTGAGACCTTCATATAACGGTGGAAAGATTGCTAATTTCATAAGATGCACTTTTGAATAACATAGTCTGAGAAGCTGACTCAAAATCCTCTTACTAATATTATTTCCACAAACTTCTTTGCTTCTTTAATATTAATGTCTCCAAAGAAGCCTATTATCTCACTTTATTGTCACAATAACTCTGTCACCTAAGTAGGCTAGAAATTAATTTCCACTACTATATTTTATATAGTATTGTCTATAGTATTATCTATTTTATGTATAATTATGTATATCCATTAATCCCAAACTCCTAATTTATCCTCCAACCATTTACACTTTGGTAACCATAGGTTTGTTTCCTTTGTCATTTGGCTATTTCTGTTTTATATATTGATGTAAGTTAATTTGTATTATTTATTTTAGATTCCACATATAAGTGATATCATATGATATCTGTCTTTGATTCACTTCACTTAGTATGGTAATTTCTAGGTCCATTCATGTTGCTGCAAATGGTATTATTTCATTCTTTTTTATGGTTAAGGTGGCTCAGTGAGAAGGAACAGCTGAAAGGATTCATTTTTCCATTTTGAAATAGAAATGGAAAGTGAGTGAAAGTTGCTCATTCGTGTTCCACTCTTTGCAACCCCATGGACCATACAGTCCATGGAATTCTCCAGGCCAGAATTCTGGAGTGGGTAGACTTTCCCTTCTCCAGGGGATCTTCACAACCCAGGGCGAACCCAAGTCTCCCACATTGCAGGTGGATTCTTTACCAGCTGAGCCACAAGTGAAGCCCATAGAAATGGAAGATAATTATAATTCATATTAAGAGTTTTGTAAGTTGGAAACAGGCTTCCTGTGGCTCATGGGGCAGAGGAGTTGCAAAGAAAGCAATTCAGTTGAAATGGCTTTGCCAAGTCATAAAAAATTCACAAATTGCTCTAAGCAGGGCTGCTGAATTGATCTGTGGTCGCAACTTCCAGGCAGGAAGATGAGTCCTGTCCTTGGCACAATAGAATAACCCTCTTGGAAACACTGCATTCAGTGCATTCTTTTAATGGGACATTGACAGTTTGTACATCTAGAGGGCACTAATGAATGGATGGACGTGGGTGAGAAATCTAGAGGGTTGCAGCTTAGAACATTTCTTGAAATATTTCAACCCGCTCTCACATGGGAGAAAGAGATTTTACTCAGTGCTGCAGGAGAGGATGCTGAATATTTCATTTGACTTTAAAAATCATAGTATGTCCCTATTTTAATACACTGTACCTCTGTCCATGGAATTTTTCAGGCAAGAATATTGGAGTGGGTTGCCTCCTCCAGGGTATCTTCCCAACCCAGGGGTCAATCCAAGTCTCTGGCATCAGACCTGCAATGGCCACCTGGGAAGCCCAATAGAGTCAGTATCACTCCTTTATCTGAGCCTGGGTAGATTTCTGCTCTGGTGTTTCAGCTCTGATAAATTGATTATCTGTATCTGCCTACCTGTCTCTCCAGCTTGGGG